CGAGGCCGATGAAATAACAGTTGTTATAAATATTATCAGTTCCTCCTTCAAGGTATATAGAATGAGGATCGAATTACTTTTTCATCAAGGGGAAATACGATTCCTTTTTTATATCTGCAGATTTGACTCTGCTTAATATGACACAAAGCACGCAGTGTCAGAGGTTACATTAATTCAAAGAAGTGGCAACAGGTTAATCTATTTGTAAATAACTCTTCAAAACTCCCTGCATTCACTATCAGATTTATCATGGTGTATTTACTAGTCAGTAAAACTTATAAAAATTAGGGGAAAACATTTTGATTTTGATTTTTGAAATCCTAGTTCTTAAGTTCTGTCAAAACTATCATTTTTGACGTCGATATAAATGAGCGCTTTTTTTTCCGATTTCCGACACCTACTCTGACCAGAATCTAGGCAATAATCCTATTTGGTGTTCAAATTAACCCCTATCGAGCACTATTAGGCGCTGTATTGATTTATATTGTAAACTTATTTTATTAGAGTGGATACCACTAGTGGTTATAAATAATGCACCATTGAAATGGAGCATGACTGATTATCGAGCACTATTTAGTGATTCACAAGGAAACAATTTCCGTAAACAGATTAGAGAAGATGTTCTTCAGGGTTCGTAAATGACATTATCGGAAAGAGAATCAGTAAAGGGTCATAAAGTTACCACGAATCACCGTAACATTTACAGAGTAGTTGTCAAATATCATACATACTTAAGCAGGTTATGAAGTTCTATATGAAACATTTTACTTTTCAAATTAAATTCCCTAAGGAAAGACATTCACACATACTGTCTGAGTTAAACACACAGTACAAGTCGGCAATATATTTGTCATGATAACGTTGGCGCTTCAGCTTCGTCTTATTGCGGACATTACCCTGGAATCTATGGCACATGAATCATGAGATTGCAGATTTGCTTTTCTTTGTTACAACCGATTATCTTCCCCCTTACAAAACTCATTGACTACAAACTAAGCGTTTTCTTTGTCAGAATATTTTTTTCTTCAGAAATTGTGTGCAAAATTCTGTAATTTCTCTAAATTCAAATTTCAGTTTAGAAAAAGGAAGAATTGGGGGCAAGGAGGGGTCAAATTATTATTATTTTAGGTAAGATGCCGGGGGGGGGGTGTAGTTTTAAGATAGGAAATAATTTAGGTATTTCAGATAGAAAGTTTTAAAATTACCACCATACAATTTAATCAAAGAACTGAAAGTACCAAATCAAGGTGACCTCTTTAGTTGAAAGTATCTATTCCATTTAACTGACAGTTACAAAAACTTACTTGAACGAAAAATTATGATGTAAAATTTTATCTAACCATCCATTATTTTTTTTCCCTATTATTATCTGTACTGATCTTGATTAGTCAATTTCATATTTTTTGCACTACAGTGTTGGCCAATTGTATCAATAATAAAATCTAACAAAATGAAACTGATAAAGTGAAAGCCATGCCGTGAACATAATGCCTACTGGTAAAAATGAACCAATTGCAAGTAATGCCAGTTATGCACATGATGAAAACTAAATACTATTTAGTACGGCATGAAAAAAATAATCACTAATTTGAAACATCTAGAGAAACAGCAGCGAATCCCCGCTCCCCTAGTCCTCGCAGGCACATTCAATTTTTTTTGTAGCCTCTAAAAATGTTTCTTCATATTAATTTGCTCTGACTGAAGATAAACAGCCTACAAAGTCAATTTTAACTAAGGGATACAAAGCCCTAATTTTAATTCTTAGCTAAATATGACTCGTTCTCTCGATGTAGTCGTATGAAATTAATGACTCGTACTCTCGATGTAGTTTCATGAAATAAATAATATGATCCATTATTTTGTATATTATGACATCAAAGAAATAATTCAATCTTTCAGATAAACAATTTTGTAAAAAAAAAAAACAAACAAAAAAAACCCCCACACATTACCACTGAGTCTCTACCTTATGATCTTAAGAAGGACTAAGAATCGAATCATACTGATATGTCTGTGCGATTAACACATATTGAATTATATATATATATATATATATATATATATATATATATATATATATATATATATATATATTAGGTATTAGGGATGGCAATTTGCAATCGGTTAACCGGTTACTCGGTCGGAACGATGGTAATCGGTTAGAAAATCTGTAATCGGTTAGTCGGAAAAAAATTAAAATAGGTGAAAATTTTCTTAAAACACGATTTACAATGTTAAAAAAACCTTGAATATTGATAAGTTATAACGTTTCCAAATTTAATTCGGCTGATTTGGAGGTAAATAATTTAATTAAGATCCTCAAGATTGAATTTGTTGGGGGTAATTGGTCACTTTGCGAAGTGTTAATTGCTGTTTAAATACCATGTCGTTACCCAGCCTGACTTAATTACTATATCAATTAAGAGGGCTGGGGGGTTGTGGCCATTTTCAGACTATATTGATCTCCTTAAGAAGAAGAGCTCCATATAAAGATATACAAAAATGATCAAATTTTAAAACAAAAATGTATGGAGTGTTTCTTTGCCAAATGAAAGTTGACAGCTTAAGATATCATATCTAAAAAATTAAGTTATATCTGATGGTTAATTTGTTGACCCCCCAGCCTCCTTAAATCTTTGTTGAGTTCTGTTAAATGATTTAAATGATTGCAATGTGTATCATACCCCCGTCTATCCTTCGCAGTTATCTATCAAATTATATTTTCAAACAAACATTGTAAATTATTTCAGACTGACGGTTTCTGTTTATGGTGACAATGCACAATGACCTTGTGTTGTAGCAATATCAAATTCTGCGATATTTAAGAGATGTGTCATGGTTTCCTTATTTTTTTCTTGCCGTTCGAAATTGAAATAAAATATAATATATAGTACTAAGCAAGCATTAACGCCTTTTTCAGTTTTCTTGTGTATATACTGTAACTAGAATTTACTCGAAAAATAAAATATAAGGAAAATGTGTATTTTGATACGATTAACCGATTAATCGGTCGGAACGTCTTTCGGTTAACCGATTAGCAATTCTGTATTCGATTGCCATCCCTATTTTATATATATATATATATATATATATATATATATATATATATATATATATATATATATATATATATATATATATATATATATATATATATATATATATATATATATATATTTAGATTTCTTCACTTAGAGCAGTTATGTTAGTTTAAGAGTTGTTGTAAAATATGATTTGAAAATAAAATTAATTTCATCTTACTGTGAATCGGTAATGATCCTCTAACAAAACTAATGTACAAATAACTGTATCTCACTTCCATCCTCAAGGACCGTGTATTGTAAGGCGGCGCCGCGAGAATTCCATCGGCATCAAAAGTACTGTAGAAGCACAAATTTTCGTGGGGATAAAATTTCGCTGATTTGTAATCTAAAAAGGTTTCGTTGGCATTAAATTTCGTTGTTTCCTTATGAAAGTGAATTTCTTTGTGCTCTCTATATTAATATTTCTTCACTTAGGGCAGTTTTGTCAGTTTAAGAGTTGTTGTAAAATGTGCTTTATAAATAAAATTAATTTCGTTACACTGTGAATCGGTAACGATCTAATGTACAAATAACTGTATCTCACTTCCATTCTCAATGACCGTGTAATGTAGAGCGGCCCCACATTTTTGACTTGCCTAGATGGCCGAGCTGTCTAGCGCGCTGTTCCTGTACTGCTAGAAGACAGATTCCGTAGGTCCAGAGTTTAACTCCGGGTTGAGCCAGAGGTGGGTGTCCTTTTAAAATGTAATGTAATGTAAAGTTAAAGAGACAATAATCATTCTAAGGAACGTTCCTTTCAACTTTAAGAAAGCACGTTTTGAACTCTTTGAACTCTCAAAACAGCACGCGTTTCAATTCTGACGATGAAATTTCATTCTAATGCATTTTGTATAATTCGTTTTTAAACCGAGAAATTATGATTCTGTTAAAACTTAAAATCAGAAAAGGGTTCGACTATTATTCACATAACATTTCAAAACTATGAGTAGTGTTAATATGTATCTATATAACCTCTTTTTTATTGCTTGCGACTATTACTTTAGTAGAATACCATTGGTATCGGCCTTGTTACCTTTTAACTTGACCTTTGTCCTACTTTTGAAAATAGGATATAAGCCGATACACATTTGAGAGGCGAGTCTGTGCTATTTAGCGTGTACATCGTTTGTCATAAGAAATGAAAACTACAAGTGTTACAGTCCACTTTACCTTTGACCTCCTTTTAAAAAATAAACGGTATTTTTTTTATGGTCTCCTTCGATAAAAGGCATGTATAATACATGTTTATGACCTCAGGACACTGTACTAATTACCATCTTCCTTGGAAGACGGTATACAGAGTTGAAGTATAAATATAAAAGTCTTTTTTTTTTTTAAAAAAAATGTTCTTCTTGTACATTTACCATGCACACAAATAGAACTTTAAAACTATGAAAAATACATCGGAATCAGTATACCGAAACGGATCAATTTTTCGGCCTGGCAATTACAGTAAAGACAGACTGAAATCTCTTTCTAGTTACGAATAAAATACATAAATAATTATTTCTGCTTGTTTCAATTTTCTAATTCATTTTTGTTTTGAGGGTTGAGGTATCATTTTTCTAGTTGATTGTCACACTTAAGGATAAAAGCTATTCTATCGTAGTCATAATATATGTGGATATTTCTTTTTTCTTTACAGATAAATGCATGAACAAAAGCTGACCATACTGAGATTATTTATATCCTTAATGATGCTATAGCAAGCGACAAATGCGTTCCTTGGAACACCCTCGTTTTGTGATTGGTACACTGAAAATTTTTAATACATAGCAGATACATTTCAAGAGATATTCTGCATTTAATCTCAAATCAAAGACTTTAAGCATGCTATGCATGACATTGTATATTTCAATAATTGATGTATTCACTTCTCTCTATAAGTTAATTATAGAAAAAGTCAAATTTACTTACTGTAGCTATATGACCTCACAATAGATCTGTGCAACAAGTGACCACGTCCTCCAAAGTCGATATATTATATTTATACCGGAGCAAAATAAAATCTGGCCTACGAGGCAATGAAAATCTTTATTGATTTTTCAACGACGATGGAGATGCGGCTTCATTAGCTCTAATTATATCTTTTATGAATGTGTGAGGCGCTAATAAAGATCCACCTGTGTTTCATATAGAACCTGATATCTAACAATCGATGGACATTATCGACACAAGATATACCTGTGTATTAGTCTTTTTATATGTTTCTACTCTCTTTACTGATGAGAGGCCCCGTGAGCTCATTTATTGGAAATATAAGGATGATAATATAAATTGTATGAGATTTTGTGGACGAGAGATTTCCCTTGTGTGCGTTCAGCTTCTCAGTTGATTGAGGAAAGCTGTCAACCTACACTTCGTTACAGAATCTCTAGTAATTTGTTTCTGTTTATTTGAATTACTTCATTTTTATATGCACTATATCTTATGTGTTAGTTTTTATGTCCCGTAATGGAAAATACGGGGTTATAAAATTTTTGGTGTGTTCGTCTGTCTATCTGCTTGTCTGTCGATCCGCAAAACATTCACCTTGTCAATAAATTGTGATAGGTTGAAGCTAGGGCTTTCTTATTTCACATAGATGATTATTGAGACAATACTTTTCTCTGGGTACAAACATATTTGACGTCTTTACCTTGACCTAGTAGTTTGACCAACTTTCGTAAAGTTTTACCAAATTTCAACCATGACCATAACTTTTGAACAGTTGATGCTAGGGCTTTCATTTTTCATTGGTGTATTTCTGGTGACAAGACCCTTCCTGAAGTACAAATATTAGACCTCTAGTCCTTAACCTTAGAACTTAAACTTCTTATAAAAACCTTGGCCCTAACGTTTGAACTGTTAGTGATAGGGCTTTCATGTTTCACATTTATATCTTATGGGACAAGACCTTCTCTTGTGTACCAACATTTAGTTTTACCTCTTTACCTTACTTTGACCTTGGAGTTTGACCTTCTTTTGATAAACGTTTACTTTGGCCATTACTTTTCAACGGTTGTTGCTAGGGCTAAAATTCATATTTCATATTTCACTTGTGTATATTTTAGTGACAAGACCTCCTCTTCTGTATCAACATTTTTGACCTTATGGTATTGAAGTTGGACTTTCTTTAAAAAGAAAAACAAACTTTAATCCTGGCGATTACGTTTGAAAAGTTAGTTTTAGGGCTTTCATATTTTACAAATATATTTCTCATGACTGGACCTTTCCTTAATAACAAATACTGCCGAAATATTGCCGACTCGATGTAAAAATACAATTATCAGTCAATCAATAACAAATACTTTGACCTAGTCCTAGGAGTCCGTCCTTCTTTGAAAAGAATTAAAACCTTGCCTTAACTTTTGAACAGTTGGTGCTAGGGCTTAAAATATTTCACAGGTGTATTCCTTGTCACAAAACCTTTATGATTTTATGACCTTGTCTATGGAGAATGGCCTACTTTCGAAAAACTTCAACCTTTACCGTAATTTCTGCAGGTTTAAGCAAGCTAGGGCTTTCATATTTCACATGCATAACCTTTGTGCCAAGTCCTTTCTTTTGGATATCAACTTTTTACCCTGACCTTAGAGTTTGACATTCATTTAAGAAAATTTACAATGGTCCATGAGCTGTCATTAGGGGGAACCACTGTTTCACAACCATATCTTGTATATCTTTACCTCCGCAGAAAAAACACCCTGCACTTAATGTATTGTTTAAAATAATAACATTTGATGTAGGGAGAGGAAGTAGCGAATCGAGAGAGAGAAGAGAAAGCAAAAGTGTTTATACTTTGGTACTCTCCTCTCTTCTTCAATCAGGTTTGTCGGTAAAGTGATGTCTGGTAAATTGACAAAACGTTTACCTCACAATTTTAAAACAATGGGGAAGTTTGAAGAATTGCTTTATTGATGTAAAACTTAAAATATGTATATATGAGTGTTACACATTTTCTCTATACTTCTATCTAAAAACAAATCATCAATATGCCTAAACGTCAAGTGCAAGTTTCACTACTACTAAAGCAAGTCTGAAATTTTCTATGAAAATTCTCCTTCGGCAGCTAATTTCCACGCCAATTATATACATAGACGCCGACATTTCCGTCATTGCTGTTCGTTTATTGTCCATAAAGACTCCCCAGAGATTCTCCTCAAAACTACAAGTGGTTCATAATGTATCAGGTATGTGTCCGAATCAATTATTGATAAAGCTATTGAACTGGTTTACATCTAAACATGTTTACATTGTTCTTGATGGGACTGTAACATCATTATCATTATCACAAGTTCAAATAAGCGTATTAAGTTTGTCCTTCAATGTCTGATATAATGATATTTGTGTTGATCAGAACTCTGCCGAACATCTCACATTGTGTTTCGGAAAAAAAAGAAACGTGTCGCATGCAGATATCCTAAAAAAGCTATTCTTTTCCAAAACAAACAGATGGACAAAGTTGTTTCCGGAAATTCCAAAATGGAAGATTTTTAAAGTAAACTGGTTCACTCAGGTGTCACATTTCTATCCGTTTTGTCACTCTTTGTGCTGTTTATCAAAGTGTAAGCTGCTTTAGCATATACGGTTAGCAGGTGTTACATGTATGAATTTTATGGTCCTCCCGAGGTATTCGGAAGTACATGCACCAGCAAAATTGTTATCTTTAAAATCTTCATTCATATACCATGCATACATTTATCCAACTGCGGGTGACAATGAAAGCCTAACTGAATTGACTTTGACAGTTAATGATAAGGCAAGATAACAAAGGAATGCAGACAATTGACCTCTGTTTTTCTATTTGCTTTAGTCTATTATTAATTTAAAACTATTTTCTGTATTTGTTTAATAGTTTGATCCTATGATATATTTTCTATTTTTAGCATGAATCTATTATGAATTAAAATTGCTTCATTATAATAATTTTTATTCACTATAATGTACTTTTATACTACATGAAAATGAATAATGAAAACTTAATGAAAGATTGTATTTGCTGACAAGGTCATTGTATCGACCATAGAACATACGAAATGATGACTTTAAACGAGAATGCAGATATTCTTGTTTCATCAACTTGTTTGTCAATACCTTACCTCGTTTTAGAAATTGTTCATACGTAGAGCATGCTCTGGCGTATCAAATCAACTGATTGATATAAACCGGTGATGCAGGTGATAACGATATATTGCTGCATAAGTAAGAGAAGTTGACCATTGAAAAGTTAAAGTCATCACTTTTATCATAAAGGTTTGTTGTTAGATTACCATTAACGTCTTTTTCTAATAAAATATCCAAATATGAAACAGATGTATCAGACTCTGTGGTATCTTTTATCTCAAGCTCACCGGGATATATCGTGTCGACATAGGAATGGAAATAACAATTGTTAATTGACAATACGTCGTTGATATATCTAAATGTCGAGTTGATGGCCACAGCAAGTGTTTTCTTCTTTTGATATGGCCTTCAACTCCATCCATATATATCGACGATATTTTAACCATTAACAATAGTTACTTCCATTCATATGTCGACTCCATATAATCCTCTCAGTGAAATCTAAATTAGAGACATCTAAGAGTTTGCGACATCTATTTTATATTTGGATGTTTTACTGACTATAAATAATAAGGACCAACTAACAACTTAATTGTATTACAAATGAGATGACTTCAGTTTTGTAATCGGCTACTTTTCTTATTCATGTAGTATGGAATGCAATGGTATTTGTCTCCCAACTTATTCCATACTTAAGAGCATGTATGGAGTACGATCAACTTTTAAAACGAGGCAGATTACTGAGAGATAACTTTAAATATGGATTTCAGCAACCTCGTTTAATGTCAGCATCTCGTGAATTCTATGATTGTTAGAATAACCTTGTTAGCAAGTATAAACTATCATTGGGTGGTATTTTGAATGACGTATTTCATACCAATTGTTAGTCCTTTCTTTTAACTTAATATGGATACGGAACATTCTGTCTACGTGATCAATACATAGGGATCACGGTGGGTGTGACCGGTCGACTGGGGATGCTTTCTCCTCCTAGGCACCTGATCTCACCTCTGGAATTTCTTGGAGCCCGTGTTTAATACCCTCTTCAAGATTTGCATTGTATGTATTTTTTGAGATCGATGTCTGTTTGTTATCTTCACACCGGCGAGTGTGACCCGGCCGAAAGGGGATGCTGGCTCCTCCATAGCACCTGATCCTTCTGGATTTTCTCATTTCATAATATGTTACCCAAGTCTTTATTTTTCAACACGTCATAGCAATTTCAGAGGATATAATTTTAAATAACGGTTGAAAATCAAACAGATGTAACACGCCTGTATTATTTATAATGGCCAGAGAGGTGAAGATATCACTTACAAAAACCTTATGCAGTTTTATACAGTAAATCGACTGATTTTTATCAACGTAGCATTACCATTTGGGTGAAAAGCAAAAAAAAAAGGAAAGAAAGAAAGAAAATTAAAAATTAGATAAATCATTAAAAGCATCAACTCAGCAATAATATGGTCTCAATGACAATACTTAAAGCATAACGGATGGTGTTTGTTTACTCAAGGTATTTTTATTCCTCTTTAACGAAGGTTTGTCCAATAAAGAGCATCGATTCCAGAAACTTCCGGAAACATTTTAAAGGCTTCGGACTGCTCTTTGGGACAGCGACAAGCGCTCTGAATGTGAACAGTGATAAGATATCAGCTGCATAAATAAATCAACGAAATCCTTGGATACGATTGCAAAAAAGGCAATGAGAAGTAAAATATTCAGACTTTATGTTTAATTAATGCGCTATCTACTTCGGAAGAAATAAAAAGAGACCCTCCAATAGTCCAGATACACAAAGAAAAAAAATTGTTCTGATTTTTCCTTCATAGAGAGACTGTATAGTACTTTACATTTTAGATTCTACCACTCTTTCATATTATTACGTCTCTGTATGAGTGAAAAATTCTCGAATGGGACGTTAAA